TCAGGCGTTTTCTTGGTGAAAAGCGTCGGAGGATTTATAATTTTGGGGCTAAACAGTCGGTTATCTGAGCGATGACGGCTTCTGGCTGCTGTTTAAATATTTAACGGCTCAGTTTGACTGCAGAATTAAAATTACACATATTAACCACATATTAGTTAAACTGTGTAACTACTACTAGTACTACTACTAATACTACTACTACTACTGTGTAGTTTTTATTCTGTGACGTCGTTCTGAGCAGTCGAACTGAAAAACAGCTGCATCACATTCGTGTCCGTTTCCGATTCAGCATATCTACAAAAATCAATTATTATTCTGATATCGTTTTAGAATCTAAAACAATCGAAAAATGTCAGAAAATGTTCACAGAATACCTCAAAATAAATTTGTCTCAAAAACACTGTCTAAAAATATCAGAAAAATATTATTAAATGCCAAAAGAGTGTCAGAAAAAAAATCAGTTAAATGAGATTATATTGATTTATAATATAAATAGAACAGTGTTTCTGAAAAAATGTTAAATAAAAATCCTAAAGTTGTTTTTGTCATTACATTCAATCCACGTATATGTAAAATAAATTAAAATAAAAACAAATTATATTTTTTGAAGGAATCTTTGTGCAAAAACATTTAAAAACTGTAAAAAAACAACAAAAAAACAAGTAAAACTGAAAATATGAGTAAAATGCAGCTAAAAATGTTAGAAAAGATTTTAAAATATCCAAAAATGTATAAAAAGTATTAAACAGGCAGAACAGTGCAAACTTTATTTAGGAATATAAACATATATTAAAAAAACAAAACAAGGTAAACTGGAATGAGCACCAGTCACATAAACACAGTGAGGATTCCTGCAGCGTCTCTTCAGTCTGGATGCTGGAGCTGCTTCCTCCTTGTTGACCTTCACCTGGAGCCGGTTGATTATTGGTGAACACGTGAACTCATTGATCCGTCATCAGCTCTGAGCTTCGTTCAGGTTACGATCTCTGAAGCATCAGCAGCTTCCGGATCGATCAGCCGAAGCTGCTTCACTGAGCCGGTTTCCTCAATAATCTGTGATGTTCTCCACATTCGACACCATAAATGTTCTGCTTCCTGGTGTTCTGTGGCTCCTGAACAGAGTCGCCTTCGTGATCAGGGAGAGCGTCCCTGCAGCATCTGCGCCGTTTAAATCACTCGTACGAGTCTGAGAGGAAGACTCGTGGTTTGCTGCGGATGTCTGGTGTAACCTGGAAACGCAGCAGGTCACATGACTCAGGACTCTAACCTGCACTGACAGCGTCACGCTCAGTCGTTACGTAATCCGAGGTAAAGTTTAAACCGTGGAAACTGCATAAAATAAGCTTCATTAAAAGGCTTAATCCAGCAGGAGAATGACCCCACGCTGAAATGTGTCCGGCACCAGAGCAGCGCCGCTAAATCTACGTTATGAGATCAGGAATCAGGTAAAATAAGACATAAGTGGGATTAACCTCCGGTGAGTGAATCTGGGAGCTGATGAGATGAAAATAAATAAACGTCAGCTTGTGAAGGACGCTGCTTCGGTTTGTGTGACGTGAACGGAGCTGGAACAAAATCAGGTGATGAACATTTATTCACTAAACGTTTATTAGACGTTTGTTATTGAATATCTTTGTGTTATTTGGTGGTTCATCGTGACTCTTCTCTGCACAAGACGACAAAAACAGATGAAAAAGGCCATAATTCAGAATAAAACTTCTCAACTGTACGTATTTAATCCAGAGCTGCAACTAATGATTGTTTTTTTTATTCCTGATCTGTCGACACGTGTTTGGTCCATAAATGTAAAAAATCAGAAAGAAACCAGCAAATGTTCCCACTGAAGAACATGACAGAATGTACAGTTCTGATGAAGACGTCGCTCAGACTGAAACATCTAATCATCAAAACAGAATCATTGATAAGCGATCGGCTTTCTGATTAACTGATCGGCTCTGCTCCGGGTGTTTTCTTTCCTCTCATCACGGCTGGAGTTTGAGACGTAAACCAACAAAATAAATCAAATCAAGGAGCAAAAGGTGCATCAGAGCAGAAACAAACCTGAACACAAGAAAACACATAAACACGGCATCAGTGGCAACACGGAGAAAACATCCAGGAATCCTCACCAGATGACCTGAATAGGATTCTTTCTTTGTTTAATTTTCCCACAAACACCAACACACCAGCAGTACATCCAACACACACGTCATCCTGCTGCTCAGCCCGGAAACTAAATGTGTCGCCTTGATTCCTCCTCTGATTCTTCGTGGTCGTCCAACCTATGGTAGGACATGTTACTGAGAAGCACCTCCCGTATGTCTTCGTATGCAGGACAGTAATAAACCCCATCCTCAGCTTCACTTAAACTACGAGCAAACAGTCGGTCCTTAGACCTCCGTGCGCTCCAGGATCTCCGTCCTTTGCTTAAACTCTGCTTCCCATCCGGTTCCAGTCTGGACCAGTTTCTCTCTAAACATCATCGTCTCCTGAACGTCACATTTATGAGAAATGAAATCAGGATTTCAGCTGGAGACGTCCCCGTTAAACGTCTTTGTTGTGGCTCTCTGATTGGACAGATTCACGAGTCTGTTCCAAAGGTGTCTGATGTTTGGAGGTTCCATCCCAGACCTCCACTAGTGCAGCACGTTTACTGACTCCCATCTGAAAAGTGGGCTGCAGGTGGATCAGTGGTTAGCATCATGGCCTCACAGCTAGAAGGTCGCCGGTTGGCGTCCCGGTGAGGACACCCGGGATCTTCCTGCGTGGGGTCTCCATGTTCTCCCCGTGCAGCGTGGGTTCTCTCCGGGTTCTCCGGCTTCCTCCCACAGTCCAGAAACATGCTGAGGTTCATTGGTGATTGTAAATTGTCCGTAGGTGTGAATGTGAGTGTGCTTGGTTGTCTGTCTCTAAGTGTAGCCCTGTGATAGACTGGTTACCTGTCCAGGTGAACCTGCCTTCACCCTGAGTCAGCTGGGATAGGCTCCGCCCCTTAGTGAGGATTAAGCGGTGTGTAGATAATGGATGGATGGAAGCATCGTCACCCATGGGCTGTATAGTCGTGTGTGAGTGTGGACTACAAGAATAAATCTGTTGGTGTTTGGACCAGCAGCTGCAGACAGAACCTGGTTCTGGTTCTGAAGTTGACTTGTTTCCATTCGACTGGTTTCTGTTTTGCAGCCAGATGTTGGATAAATGAACTTGTGTGACTTCTCTGATCAGTCATGGAGAAAGCTCGCAGCACGTCGTGGTTTTACCGTTAAGACGATGAACCACCAGATTACGGCTCTACGATGTGATTCTTTGATTGGAGCCCTTCAGAATAAAAGCCCATAAGCATGCATGCATTAACCCTCCTGCAGGTCATTAAACGTACTATCCTGCTTTGTTTATGCAGCAGCAGTGACGATGGGTTTCCTCCTGCCGGTTTCCTGCTAACAGCGGACGGACAGAGCGGGACCAGAACCCACCTCCTCCTCCTCCAGAACCGGACCTTCAGAGAGAGCCAGAGCCAGCAGAGGAGGGGAAGCAGAGAGGAGACGGAGGCGGCAGGCGAACTCAGTCGATGGATGCTGTCCGGATCGAGGGGGCAGCAAGTTCTTCACTGACGAGGAAAAGAAAGATTTCAAAATTGAGTCGAAGGATAGAAACTCGCCGTCAGGTTGGTGTCGGTCCCACTTCACGATCCGTTTCTTAGAGAAGATCAAAGATCAGAGTGAAGCTGATGCTTGATGGTTCATTGCAGATAATATCCAGTAAAATCACAGAAAACACTCGTTTATATGTCGCCTGCAAGAAAAAACGAAAATAATGTCCAAGTCAAAAACACTCTATTTAAAAAATGGTGATTTCCTTTTGTTTGTGTTTGTTTTAATTTCCTCCAGTTTGACTGAAATGAACTACAAATATAATGGCTGAACACATGTCTGCTGTCATCTGGATTACACATGTGTTCCTCTGGCAGCCTTTCTGCCAGATGTCTGAAATATTAATGGAAAAAAAGTAAAAAATGTCCACATCAAAAATCTTTGTTTGTTTTTTCATATAATTTTTTTAATGTTTGACAACAAAATCAGGTTATTTTAAAAAAGTATTTCAATCAGTGTTATTTTACACATATTTGCTTTTATTTGAAAGAATCATATGAAGGGTGAATGTTCAGTAAAACACAGGTAAAGGATTTATATCATATTAAATATAATATCCAGTAAAATCAGGCTCCGTTTACACTCTGCAGGTATTTGACTTTATTCTCTCCTCCTCCATCCTCACCTGCTTCCCACCAGCCTGCTCCACACCTGTCCTGTGTCCCACATCCTCCTGCTCCACCTACAACATCCTCGTCTCCCTCTTCTGTCTCTATAACTTCCACATCATGAACTTATGCAGGAGCTTCTCTGCAGACGTGAAGCTTTTGGACACATTTCGAGTGTCGAGTCGTAGCTCGATGCCGAACCGATAAAGTCGTTTTCTAAGTAAATCTTCCAAAACGACTGAATGAAAATAACTTTATTCTGTGTTTGTCCGTCGCTCTACTTCCATCTAACATCTTCATCTGTGTTGGTATTTTGAATTTTAATATTTTCACACAATAAATACGTCCTAACTAGAAAATACGTCTTAAACACGTTATAAAATACCTCTACTCTAAAAAATATGTTTTAACACAATAAAATACATCTTAACTCTAAAAAATGTGTTTTAACTTTTAAAAACGTGTCCTAACTCTACAAAATGTGTCTTAATATCATCAAAATGCATCAGAAATGTGTGAAACTGGACGTAAGCAACTCTTCTGTTGCTGCTGTTCTCCTTCGACGTAACGCGTGACGGGACATGTTGCTGGTTATCGACTTCACGCTGCTTTTCCTGATGCATTGTGGGATACTTTGATTGAGCCTGTGATAATAACTACAGCATAGCTGGTTATCCCCCCATGTGCTCAGCTGTCAGGCTTCCCGTCCTCGTGTCTCCAAAGTAAAAGCCTGTGTGTTGCAGGCATGGTGTGTGAGAAGGGGATCCAGATCCTCCTCACCACCGTGGGGGCGTTCGCCGCCTTCGGCCTGATGACGGTGGCCATAGGGACGGACTACTGGCTGTACTCCCGTGCCCTCATCTGCAACAGCACAGCCAACGTCACCCAGGACGACCCCCACAACAAGGACAAGAAGGACCCCGGGGCGCTCACCCACTCGGGGCTGTGGAGGATCTGCTGCCTGGAAGGTAAGCGGCAGGATATTTTGGGTTCTGTAGGTGGGATTTGGACCGACGTGGCGCTTTAATTCCGGTTTGGAGGCTGCAGGGGAGGCTGATGTAGGACAATACGGCTGCAGCTGCCTTCAGCTGTTTAGCATTTAACCGTGTGAACCCCGGGCAGCAGCTTCTGGGGTAAAACCAGAGAGAGGAACAGTCACAGGGACGAATTAAAAATCAGCTTCTCTTGTTAGGTTCTTGCATTTTTAGGAAATGTGCACATATGCACTCAGTTTGTTGTTCCTGCTTCATTTTCCTGGACCTCGGTGGAAACAGAACAACTGTGGAGACGGAGGGAGAACGATGCAGGGAATCGTGAAAAAAGCAGAATGTTGATCATTTATTTGCGGAAACTGAACAAAACCTGGAGCACAGATGTCACTGGAGCTGGAGAACATGGAGGCTCCACATGCTGCACATATTTATTTACATTTTAAAGCCTCCACCAGCTCAGTTTGTGTCCTTCTCTGTCTCATTTTGATGTTTTTTTGGTGTGTCCAGGACAGTTTTGTCTGTTTCTGGACGTTTTCAGTCCTTTTGAATCTTGTTTTTCTCATTTTGTGTCTCATCATAAAGAAAATTGAAAGAAAAGGTAGAAAACCTGGAACGATGTCCCCGTCGGTGTTTCTAATGATGGAAATGATCGAACCTTCTGTGTTTTTTTATAGTTATTTGAGCCTTTCTGTGATCTGGATGATGAACTGGTGAGTTCAGGTTTGTGAGGCTTGATGTGATGCTCAGATCTGCGGCTCTGCTGAACGCTGCACCGTTGTTTCCTCTGTACGGCAGCATCAGCGTGTAACAGCTTCACTTGACTTTAAGGTTTGTTTAAGAAGGTGCTGCAGAATCCGTAATCATTATCAGCATCAACACACACACACACCATGCGTTTGTGTTTGTCAGACCGTGCCGTGGTGGCAAGAAAAACAATTTTTGCATAATTGCAATATAATTACATGATAGCGAAGCGTAACCCTCACTCAAAATAATCCATTAATCATTGTCTTGGATTCAGGCTGCAGAAACAAAAGCCGGCGCTCACCCACCGACGGAGATACAGAAGCTGGCAGCGACCATCTCTCAATCTTCGGCTTGTCGCTGCAACACAAGCTGCTAATTCATTATACATTACACTGCCTGGCTGCCAGTCAGCACCGAAGGCTGCATGGAGTTAACGGCGAGCGCAGCCAAAGGGGGAGTGAGAGCCACAATCTGAGCTGGCGTTCAGACGGAGGTGGAAGGAAAAGCCTCCTGGCTCTTCACGAAGCATCCGCAGCCCATCCGGGGCTCGGCCATTGTACACAGCTAATTTGTCCTCATCTCTAAGCTTCCTGATAGCAAAGCAGCCAATTAGAGATAAGCTGGAGCCCTCGCAGCTCTGCGGCACTGCACCCCCCCACCCACCCACCCCCAAACACCACATTTCATCTCTCGGCGGTTCCTTGTCGCAGCTTCGGCCTCTCGGTGCTGCAGTGAAGCCGACGGAGTCTCGGCCGGACGTGGAGGTCAGGACTCAGCCCAGATAGGCGCTCAGTAGTCGTGCAGCGATGCGGTGAGGTGCAGCCGGGGCGGCGGTGCAGGACATGCGAGCTCTGAAAGATTTATGGGGGCGGGTGGGCGGATGGAGACGAGTCCTGCCTCCTGTCCTGCTGCAGGTTTACTGAAGGTGGAGCTGAGTGAGGAGGGGTTCTGTTCATGTGTCAGTCAGATCAATGAGCCTGAACACAGCCAGCAGAGCGTCAGAGGCTCTGTAGCGACGCTACCAACACGTTTACATGCATCGACTTCCTCCAGGTTCTGGCTGTTTCTTGTTCTCGTCTCACTTGTCTTCACTGTGACTCATGTTTCTCTGCAACATCGAGTCCTGCAGCTCCACAGAACCAGAACATCATGAAGGAGGAGAGAGAGCTGAAGGGAAAACCTAAAGTTTAATAATCAGATCAGAACTGATTTATTACAGATCTGCTCAAATGAACGGATGTTTGACATGTTCTCCAGATATATTTTTGTTTCTGTTTATTTTTCACCATTGACCTTTCTGCACTGTTCTCTCTGCTGCTGCAACATGTGGGATTAATGAAGGCTTATCTTATCTTGTTCTATCCAACGTGACATAACTTAACTAACATAACTTAACATAATGTAGTGCAGCGTTACATAGCGTGACTTAACGTAATGTACCTGAAAGTAATGTAGCATAAAGTAATGTAGCTAAACATAATGTACCATAGCGTAACTTAACTTAATGTAGCATAGCATAACTTTAATGTAGCTAAACATAATGTAGCTTACCGTAATGTAGCTTGACATAATGAAGCTTAACTTAATGTAGCTTAGCATAATGTAGCGTAGCGTAATGTAGCTAAACATAATGTAGCTTAACGTAATGTAGCTTGACGTAATGTAGCTTGACGCAATGTAGCGTAATGTAGCTAAACGTAATGTAGCTTAATGTAATGTAGCTTAACATAATGTAACTTGACGTAATGTAGCATAACGTAATGAAGCTTAACTTAATGTAGCTTAATGTAATGTAGCTTGACTCAATGTATCTTAACGTAATGTAGCATAACATACTGTAGCTGGTATTAACATAGCTTGACGTAGAGCAATGTAGCATAGCATAACAGCACAACATAACATAGCATAAGGTAACATAGCATAATGTGGTATTGTGTAGCTGAACATAATGTAATGACATAATGTAGCTTAACTTAACTTAATGTAGCTTAATGTAATGTAGCGTAACGTAATGTAGCTTGTATTAACTTAACATAACTTAGCATAGCACAGTGTAGCAGAGCAACATAGTGTAGCATAATGTAGCATAGCACGATGCATTATATGGTAGCTGAACATGGTGTAGCCTAATGTAGCTTAACATAATGTAGCATAGCGTAGCATAACACAGCATGGCGTAGCTTATCTTCATCTTAGTTCACTCTGAAAGGCCTCATATGTAGAAATAGTTCTCGGTCACTCTCATATGCAGAAATAAAGGTTCTTACTGTAGCAGGTCCTGATCTTGATTCTTTAACATCTTCTTTGTCAAATTTGATTCAAATGTTTAGTCAGTGTGATGATGCTAAAAGTAGATTAAACTTGCTCCACCCTTTAAGCTACAACATACATACCAACTAGTTTTAGAGCTTTAATGCACTTTTCTTGGTTGTATTTGTGATTTAATGAAGGAACTCGGACAGATTCTTGTGTTGTTGCAGCTGTGTGAGCATCACTGATCCATGTCGCCCTTTTGTACCTTCATGTGTTTCTTTGCAGAACAACCAGCGGAAATATTCCAGCTGTGACCCCACATCTGTCCGTCTGTCCCTCCGTCTGTGTCTCTTCATCCCATCACTCCATCTCTCTCACAATCCATCCATCAGCAACATGGTGTCCGTCCATGCGTCTGTCTGTCTCCGTGCAGGACGCCGGCGGCTAGTTTTCTGCCTGCCAGCGTGTTGTATGTATTTCTGTGTGTCTACACTGTTGTAACGTCATCTGCATTCACCAGCAGAGCCTCTGTGCTGCTCTTTGTCAGTGTGTTAACGTTTGTCTTTCATGCATTAGCTGCCTCTAGGCTCCATCTTCATCTCCACTGTGACGACACACTAACACACCTGCCTGTTGGTCCAGGTGCCTCCATCACATCCACCTTAAGCCGAAGAGCTGGACGACAAAAAGAAAAACAGAAGCTGTCATCTGCACTGTGAAAAATGATTTCATTAGTTTACAGCAAACGTTTGGAGCAATTTACAGTTGTTTTACAGATTATTTATGTTTTGTTGAATTAGAGATTATGTCAGAAAAACCCCAACAAAACGGGACGACACAGACAATAATAAATATAGTGTATTTTTACAAACAGTAATTCATCCTTGAATAACATTTTACTGCAAAGTTACAGATTTATTTATTACTGTATTTAAATCAGCACAAAAATAATGATTTTAAATATATCTGCTGTTATTTTAGAGAGAAAAAAGGTGCAAAATGGCAAATAATTATTAAACTGTTATTTTACAGATTTTGTTAAATTAGAAATGATTAAAATCACAGAAAGAAGGTTTTAATTTAAGTTTAACAACAACAACAAAACGACCAAAAGTTAAAATGTCCACATCCATAATATGTAATCTAACAATGTGTAACGTTAACATGTTTTTTCTGTTCCTAAATCAGCAGAAAATTAGATTATTTTACAAATATTTTCCTTAATTTCCAGTATTTTGCTGGTTTTTTTAACATATATTTTCTGGCAGCCTTGCTGACAGATTTTATTTTTATTAATTTTTATGACTTTTTACATGTTACAGCTTTTCTAAACACTCCAGGACACCTTACAGAACATTAGGAATAATAAAACAGTAACTAGACGTCAGACAGACCCTCAGAGTTCAGACGACGTGACCGGCTCACAGCAGAGTCAGATCTTAAACTCGTCATGTGTGGAGTTGTGGTTTGAACTGTGCAGCAGCCGACAGACGTTTTCTTCTCGTTGAGCAGCTAAAACCTTCAGAACCAGGCTCAGGGCGGGTCGAGGGTAAAGGGGGACGGGACGAGGCTGGTGAGACCAGCGACTGCACATCAGAACCTTCAGATCCAGAAAAACCTGCAAACTCCACAGAGAGAGAGAAGCCACGGTGTTGGTGTAGAACGATGAGTTTATAAGTGCAGACTGAGGCACAGCAGCAGAGGAAGACCTCAAAGCGTCCGTCGAAGGCCTGGAAGGTGACGGAGGGTTTCTAAGGTGAACCCGGTGCTGTATCTGAGCAGAGCAGCGGCGCTGAAGGAGCAGGGAGGTAATGAGCCCAGCAGCAGAGTTTTAAATGATTTGGAGCCGATGGAGGAGTTTATTGGAAACACCAGAGAGAGAGCGGCGCTGCAGTAATCAATGTGGGGATGTGACCAGGATTTCAAAAAGAACTTTAGTGCTGAGAGAGGAAAGGACGAAGTCTGGAAATACTGCAAAGGTGAAAGCAGGCAGCGTGAGATGCTGCTGCTGTGAGGGCATGAAGACAGCGTTCTGCCCCGTATGAGGGCAACAGGGCGAGTTCCACCACAGATACAATCAGTCTGTCAGCTCTGTGGATGCTTCCAACAGCTGTGACTTTGCTGTTTTTAAGCTACGGCACCATTACAGCGGTTGAACATAACTCAGGATGTCTGGAGACTTCAGACACCGTGTTTGGAGCAGCTTTGATTTGTACCGTGTCCTGCAGTAACGATTGGTATTATAAAGGTGTGGATGACACCGAATCTCCTCATGCAACCGACTGGGCAAACATGGAACATGCAGTCCAACTAGTACAGTCCAGTCATGACCCGATAATCGACCCTTAACAATCCTAAACCTGCTACCTGACAGGTTTTTAGGAAAAACCAACAGAACCCATAAAAACAGCCTTAACATAGCGACAGCCTTGGATTGTGACTCCGACATGACAATTAGTGTCACCAATCAGGATGACGGCGTATTATCTGACTGAACAATCCCACAGCTTGACGTACCTTTGATGTCAACCGACGGGCCCGTGCACAAGCGCACCGGTCGGTTCGGTGTGAAATCCAGACATGCGTAGTGCTCTAACAACTCGTTGAGTGAGTTTGCAGACGAATTAGGTTGTTTGTTAGAAAACAAGTTTCCACCAGCGTTAAGGAGTCCCAGACCAGGTGGTGCACCGACCAGGTGGTGCACCGACCAGGTGGTGCACCGACCAGCGACAGAGGTACCAGGAGCGGTGAAAAAAGTTCTGTCAGTACAAGCTGGAGCATCCGAAATGTTCCCTGGACAGACCGGTTCATAAAAGACTCGTATTCATATACGTAGATAGTTTATTATAACAACTGATGTCAACAACTAGTGATCCTTCCAGCATCAAGCCCTCCTCGTATCTGGACCTCCGTCTGGATCAATCCCACAGCCTTGATATCCGACATAGAAGAAGGTTTTACATTTAGTGTCGGGTCATCAAGTCACTGCTGTAGTGTAATAAGTTCCTGGTTTCCACGTGACTGATGAGGACTGTGAAAGTGGATGCAGGTGTGTTCCTGTTCAGTGATTGGTCTGCTGCAGACACACATCTCAAACACAGAAAAGCACTCGGACGATGTTCCTGTCTCACCCAGGATCCAGCAGCTGGTCCCGATGTGGACTGCAGCTCTGCGGTGGTGAATATTCATGAGCAGTGCAGGATATCTGGAGAGTTTAGAGCTTTTCATTCCGCTGACGGGAAGCCAAAGCCCTGCAGTGACTGCTTTAATTACAGCTCTGCTAATGATGACCTGTGGAGATGTGGAACATGGAGAATCTCCTGCGTGGATGATGGGATGTAGGTCAGACCCTCACATGAATGGGAGGGTCCACTGAACGCCATGGGATGTATGTTTTGTCGTCTCCCCACCTCCGTTAGAGTCCTGGTGGACCCTCCACGGACGTTTGCGAGCTGGAGGACTGGTATAATCCAGGCTTTATGTAGACACGGGTCTGGTGGTGCTGCAGCAGTTCTGCATCGTCAGGATGTCTGAAGAACTTCCTGCTGTGTTTGTGAAACACGTACAAATCAAAACTCCTCCGAACTCCTGCTGCGACTTCATCAGTGACAGCTCTGCTGATGATGGACCATGAAGGTGTGACCGGTGGAGAACTGGTCCACTCAGACCCCCACAGACTCTGATAGACAGACGATGAGCTTTACATCACACAAACATCTGCAAACGTCGAAAAGGAATTGGTCTTAAGACTGATGCAACTCTGCAGAGACGAACAGCTGCTCCAAAAAACACGGACGGCATCACACCTGTGCTGACATCCCACCACTGGCTACTTGTTATGGAGAACAGAACCGGTTCTAAGGTTCTGTTATTCGTTCATAAAGGGTGTGTGTCTGCTTCTACTTGACCTCCAGAACCTTTAGACCAGGGATCTCCAGCTCCGGTCCTCGTGGGCTACTGTCCTGCAGGTTCCAGACGTTACTGCAGCACAGCTGACGTGGATCATTGTGTAGAAGAAGCTGCTGGAGATCCGTTAATGTGAGTCAGGCGTGTGTGAAACATCTAAAACCTGCAGGACAGCAGCTCACGACAACCGGAGCTGCAGATCCCTGGTCTAGACCCTCAGAACAGCTGCTGTCACACCGCTGAATTAAATGTTCTTCTTTTCAGAAAAATCTCCAGATGCATGTTTTTATTGGCTTTTAGTTGCTCCTGATGGTTCATGTTTTAATTTGTCCTGTTTAGTTTTGTTCTACAGATTGTTTTTAAAGCTACCGTCCTGTTTTTGTTGTTTTGCTTCTTGTGCACAGACTTTGCATCTGGTTGATCTTAAAGGAGCTGCATCCACACACTCAGCTCGACTTATCGTTCAGCACACGCGTGGTTTCAGAAAAAGAGGTTTTCAGACATAAACATGGCCTCAGCGTGTTCCTCTGGAGAGTAGCTCCGTCATCCTGCAGATTTGACTTCTTGTCCTTTCGCTGCGTTCGCTCACCTTGTTTCTTCTCTCACATCTCAGGAGTGAAGAGAGGAGTGTGTTCTCAGATTAACCACTTCCCCGAGGATGCAGACTTTGACCATGACGGGGCAGAGTACGTCCTACGTAAGTCCACATCTCCTCCACCAGCAGACACACGGCGAGTAGCTGCATGCAGAGAAGGAAGAGAAAAAGAGTCAAATGACGTGTTTGGTTGCTCATTCCTCAGAAGATAATCTCATCAGGAAACAAACACGTGACAGCGCGTACGCAGTCATGGGAGCTGGGCTGCCCTAGTTCACGGTCCGTGCCCCGCAGTGCTCCATGATACGCTGCATGTGTGCCCGTGCATACATAAAGAAAAGCCTGCGCTCTGTTTACAACGCTGCAGAGGCATTTTGTTGGCATTTAGGTGGCATTTCCTCTCCCGTGGCCTAGTTGTCCTAGATGAGAGCGCCGCGTTGATGTGTGCGCGAGCGTGCACGTGTGAGCGCGCACGGTTGGCAGACGTCCTGAAAGCACTGAAGGCCACATGGGAAGGTTTGATTCAATTGTGTGCCGAGGACTGAGTAATTAATTTCCCCCACCAAATAGTTTATTCACATAATGGAGCGACTTTAACCAGCGTTTTATTCAACTTCAGCTTCTCATCATTCAAACTTTGAATGTTTGATCAGAAATGTGAGCGTTTATCGGAGCACGGCACCAGATCGGAGAGGTTTTCTTCATCATGTTACACTCCAACGTCGGTCATCCCGCATTAAAATTATGAAAATGTTTCCACCACACCTCCTCAGAATCAGCTGGTTTATACGTACAATACCTGTAATGAAGAAATGCAAAGTTCTACCTTCATGCTGTGAATATTTTCAGAGCTTTTTAATTA